CCCGAAACGCACCTCTTTCGACTTTTAAACCAGCCGCCACATTGGAAAGCGACCGAAGCGCCGAAAACGACGGAGGCAAAGGATCAAGTATTTGTTCATTGGTTTATTTTCGTAATTAATTAATTTAGATTATACTGTATTTTATAAACACGGTCAAAGAATAAGGATTACTTGCAAATATCTTATTTATAGAAATTCAATTAAAACTTATTTAATACTAATTAGCTCTAAATACGAATTGCGTATCGTAATTTTAACTAAAATATACACTCGAAACCGGATGGACGGAGACGGCATTCTGAAGTATGAGATGTTTCTTCGACACATCTGGGACGTCAAAAATTTCGCCCTTTCACCTCCGACTTCTCCATTGAATCTATGTATTAGATACAACGCTTTTCAATGGCTTACTTTGCGAGAATTAAATTGTCTGCAGCTGTGCGACTTAAAACACAATCTAATACACTTAACAGTTATATATACAGGCTGGACACAGAGAATTCTTTTCCTTAAGCTGTTTGTCTCTTTCCACAATGCGGTCTTTTCTGAGTGCAGTCTATCTTCCACACTTACGTAACCCTCTTCAAATGCTTTGTGCAACTTAAACGTTCGTGTCCCGGCTGCGGACACGCCTTGTGTTTTCGTCGACTCTCGTACGGAATTTCTTCGCAAGAAAGTCTCTTAAATGCGATCATTGCGTTTTGGTGACGCACGTTAGGGTAAATTGCTCTAGAACTAGGGTTTCTCAAACGGGATTCCGGTTGTTTTTTTAACCCGGGAAATCCCGCAAATTAATTAAAAATTCACTTTTTTTCTTATTTTGTGTTAAGGTTGAGGAATTTTGCAAATAGAAAGCATAATTAACTCATTCACTGTCAGAATACATTTGTATTTATTAATTTTAAACCTATGTATTAGTTTTTTTAAATTTTTGCTCGTTATGGCATCTCAAAAATGGTCAATAATCAATATATACTGTAGCTTATTTGTGGCAGGACTATAAAAATTCTTTACTTGTCGGAACCTATAATATCTGGAATAATTGCGCTTACGCTGTCTTGAGTTTTAACCATGCCCAGTAGCTTCAATAAATGCCTGACGCCAGATTGTGCAAATTGGGCAAGGATACAAACGAGTACAAAGTCTGCAAGTATGAAGTTTTTCTTCATAAACCTGATTATTAAAGCCAAATGAATTGCCGAATTATCGAGCTCTAAGCTCGATGCCGCTATTAAAGCAGCCAAGGTAGACAAATCAAGAATACTAGAGAGCGAAAGAAGTACTACAATCTCGAAAACGAACTCGAAAGC